ACCCCAACTTTTTGGAACTCTAACTTAACTCGTATCTTCATGGCAAGACGGAGAGTGATTATTATATAAGTAGTGATGTGGGTCATTTTTTAAGTTCTCAAGAGTCACATCTTAATTTTTGGAAGTTAAGAGATTTTTGTAATAAAAGTTAGCGAAAGTTATTGCAAGTTTCTTTGTAAAGATATCTCTAAAATTTAGTGCAAATGCCTCAGAGGTTTTCTCCCAATATAAGAAGAGTTAGAGGGCCCATAATATATCAAATCGAAGGTCTACGAGTCAAGCTTCCAATGCATCAAACCGTTTATTCACATGATATCTGAATAGAGAGATATTCACCTTTTTGTACCGAATTCACAGTAGAGGCGGCTAGTGGGTCCCCTAGGTCAGTGGAACCTTATAAGATAGCATCTTCTTCATTATTTTTCATTCCAGCTCACAAAAAACCCACCAAAATCAGAGAATCGCTCCTCAATTCATCCTTGTGTGTTCATGATTGCTTCTTGGCTATTTATCAAAAGTTGCCCTATGTCGCGAACTCGTCATTATGGTATAGTTTTCATGATGAATTGTGCGGTGTAGCTCCGTGGAGGTTGTGGCAGCAGGGGTTTTTCAAAGGTTTGAGTTTATTCAGGTGTTCATAGCGTGTAAAGAAAGGTAGGAACCATATTTTATCAATTTATGGATACCTTAGGTCTCGGATAGTAATTTACGATAGGAATTCGTATCAATTGTTGAATTGTCGTAGTAATTTTTGTCGTTAATTGTTGATTGAGTTTACTTTTTTTTAGTGTTGTAGTGGTGCGGACAGAGGTATTATTCAGCGTAAACCATAAAAGAAAAGGTATGTTAAGGCAATTCCATTCGAGGCAATTCCATTCGTTCAACATATTTCCTTAAATCTTGGGAGTGATATAATAGGGTTGGTAATGTTGGTGATCTTGTAGATGTAATTGTGAGTGGTTGGCTGATTGAGTGGTTATAAACCCTCATTTTGGGGCTCATAATATGTTAGGAACGGCCCTAAGTTAGGAACGACTTGGAGACTATTCATATATATTGTTTATAGCTAAATTGTTTGGCTTTAGCCTATTGAATTGTTTGTTATCACCCATGGGTCTATTGTGGTTGGCTATTACGCTATGGTCTGCCTATGGGAGCTATGATGTTGCCTAAGAGGACTATGTTATTGCCTAAGAGTGCTATGTGTTGCCTACGGGGCTATATTGATGCCAAAGAGTGTTATGTGTTGCCTACGGGGCTATTTTGACGCCAAAGAGGGATATGTGTTGCCTATGGGGCTATGTTGTTGCCTAAGAGGGATATGCGCTGCCTACGGGGTAATATCGTTGCCTAAAAGGGCTATGTGACTTCTTACAAAGACAAGGGGATATCGATAGGGGTATATATATTGATTTGACACCTTCTGGGCTTGTGGGGGCCTATGTAGGTGGTATGTTGTTTGTACCTGCCGAGCTTATGGGGGCTAAGTTAGGTTGCTCTTTGATTATTTTGTACGTTTAGATTTAGTAGTGGGTTAGCATGCTTATCTAAATTTTGATTTCCTTACCTGATTGCTTTTGGTATATTATTTCACACTGGCGCCCCATTGCCTGGGGCGCTGCATTCATGCTTGCAGGTCCCGATAGACGACTTGATAGACCTCCCCAACAACACGGTTGAGTTCCAGTAGGTTGGCAAGCCCCTTTCCTTCGGAGCTCCAAAAGTTTAAAGGTTTGTTGGATTTTGTTGTATATAGTTTTGGGTATGTCGAGGCCCTATCCCGACAAAGATTTACTACTCTTAGAGGCTTGCAGACTAGTGTCCCGGGTTGTATAGCAACGTTATTGCCCATGTTAGCCTTGTTTGTTGGTTGGCCGAAGTTTGGTGATGGTTTTGTTTATTGTCTTAATACATAGTATTCCTTTGTTTCTGTATAGAGATAATGACGGCTTTGACAGCCCATATAACATTTACATTTTCCTAGATATCATGGTGGCCTTGACGGCCCAAACAGGATTTATGTGCGAGCTGGTTTTTTATTATGAACCTTGGAGTAGTTATATTCTTTATGAGGTTGTTGACAGGGCCCTTGCCTGCCAAGGGCATACTTTCAAGCCGAGATATACTTGTTTGTTTTCTTAACTATGTGTGGCTTATCCATGCCATTACAAAATGGCTAAGCATGGTCGACTCAGACCCAAGTTTTGGAACTAGGTGTCAGTTGCACCCTTTGAGTTTGGGGCGTGACACATGAACTCCCTAACTTGAATGATATATATATACATAATAGGAGAGGTGATAGCGCCTACGTGTCAGCACTGAAAAAAAGCAGTATTTTTTTTTAAAAATATAATAAAATTGTGTTTAAAGAAAAACCAAATGCACGTGTATTGGTAGTTAATTATTTCAAAATTAGTGGGATCGTTTTAAAATTTATGTATATGTGTAAACTTACGCAGTAGTAACTACCATAAAATTTCGAATCCTAAAGAAATATTTTTTAAAAATAGAAATATTTAAATTAAATTCCAAAATAGAAATGCTATTTTTTTGTGGTTTTCAAGTTTAACATAAAAAATTTTAACTTTGAAATTATAAAAAGTAAAAATGAAAAGAAAAGCACACGGAAGTTCTGCATCAGAAAGTTAGGTTTTGAGCCTAATTTTGTGGAATTATCAAGCATTATCTAATTTTGTGGAACTATCAAGTATTATCCTTTTAAATAACTTAATTTAAAAAATATTGTATATTTTCTTTTAAAATTCATCATTTAAATATTATTTAATATTTTGAAGTTTATCTCAATTTTCTTTTTTGTTGTCGATATTTTAAAATAAATATTTTTTTTAAAAATACAACTTATAATAATAATAATGATGATGATGATGATGATGATGATGATGATAATACTACCAACGATACAGGATCACTGATCTGGTGGTAGTCCGCTAGGTCATAGATCAAGCAAGTTAATATCATTAGAGGTAGTCCAACTATATAAGAATCGAAATACACAAGAATTTTAACGTAGTTTCTCAGACTGCATGGTTAAATTATTTTACCCAAGCAAAGGGCCTGTCAAGAAGCTAATACATACTTTTATTAAGCCCATTGTCTGATAGTTCTAACCAGGTATGAGGTGCCCTACTTATCAAACTTAATTTTGGGCTAAAAACCACGGCTCATCAGACGGAGTCATAAAGACAAAGCTAATAAAAGTAGTACTAGATCTGACTATACCTCAATCTCGGAACCAAGTCGAGAAGCCATACTAAAATTCTTCTATATTTAAAGAAAGCTTAGATCCGTTCATGGTCTATATAAAAGAGAAGTTAACTATCCGGCATAGATATAATTTTTTAGCCGGACATATCACGGCTTAACTCAAAGATAAAAAATTGAAAATAAAAGGAAGTACCTTGTAACAAACATCACACTTTACTATTCCTCCGGCCAAAGTCCAGTAAGCTTACAATACTTGAAAATATTTTACAAGTGGGGAGAGAGAAAGAAAGAAAGAAAGAGAGATGGTTTCTAAAACCTGCTCTCAATTAAAGAAAAACAAACCTATTTATAGAAAAAAAGAAAGCATCTATGTATAGGATACTGGGCCCCTATCTGGGTCCTGGTAACAGTGTATTTACTGTTGGTGAACAGTGTTGCTACAGTAGTGCGGGCCCGCTACCGACGCGCCTAAGCTTTACACTTTGTCTTTTAATTTTGCCAAAACATCTTCGACTTTCTTCAGTGCATCCACTGGACTTTCTTCTTCATATTGTTGGGCTTCGTGCATATCTTCACTTGTTTCACTACGCATTGAAGAATCTGATTTTGCGTAATGACTTATATTTAGAAGAATCTTCTTCTTGACTTCTTCTAGATATCTCATAATCATTTCATTTTGCTCTCCTTCATCATGATTAGAAAATTTTCTAGCCATATGTTTTATGGAGGTCGAGTCATCAGTCATGATTCCTTTATTAGGAATTGATTTATAATCGTGTACGGTTTTCGTAATTAGATCCAGCAGTTCTTGTCCGTATATGGACTTTGTTTGAGGATCTTTCTTCATCAACTTGTCCCAAAAATTATTATAATAAGTTTTGTATAGACAAGGGATTTGTTCCTCAGTAAAATCTACTTCCGGAACCCATTTATGAATCCATGGAACAAAGAATTCTATAAAAAAATATATATGTTCAATTTGTTGAAAATAACAAATATGTTCTTGATGATATAATTTGTTGAGATCTGGGGAAACCTTGACCCATTCTTTGTATAACTTGTGAAATGGTTCGGGCAATATTTTTATTGTTGGCCCGTGGTATGACCACCAGTTTAAAAACCAATTTGGTATAGGATTCGCAAATATCTTGGCACATACTTTTATAAATCAAGTATGTTTATGCCTCTCATTGTTATAACAGAGAATTTTATTAAATGCCTGAATATAATCCCAATAGGTAAAGCTTACCATGACTTTGTTTAGACTGAATTGTCTTTCAGTCATTGAGGAAATACCCCAATCTTCAATATGAATGATGTGTTTTATAATCATTTTAGAGAAGTTATAAACATTCTCACTTGTATTATATCCTGAAAAATGTTGAAATTCAACACCTGTGCTTATTAGCAGTCTCATAATATTTCCGAGTTTTGTATGACTCACCCGGGAAATAAAGCCCATTAACTAAATACCTCTGGAATATCTTCCAAGGTTCTTCTCTTCTCTGTATGTCAGAGTTTTCTAAGAGAAATATCATTTCTCTTTTTTCTACCTTTTCATATGTTTTGATATCATCAACTTCTTCTTTGGCGATTGAAGCAAAAGAATCACCTTGCTTTTGAGTTATAAACTCCTGTAGTTTAGCATATAATGGATCACTTTCTGGAATATCTTCCAGATGTATTGATGATGAAGCTCTTTCTTGTGCTCTAGAGTTTAAGTTATATAAACTCATTCCTCCCTTTTGTATAATTGGAGTACTAGATGATGAAGATCCGTATGATGATCTTGATGAACTTGGGGATGATCTTCCCCTTCCGCGAGTATAACTGCCTTTTCCTCTAGCCTTGGTTATCCAAGGAGGATCCATCCTGCAAACATAGCATTTAGTTTTAATCATTTAAGAAGTTAAATTTTTAATCATTCAAGAGGTTATAAACTTCATCACAATAAAATCTTTCATAAAGCTCTTGTTCAATCATGTAATTATTGACAATATCAATCACCATTCCGTCTATAATTTTCCATAATATAAGTTCCTTTAAATCTCTAATAGGAGGAACTGCCTTCAAAATTGTAACCAAATCTTTATCAGGAAAGAAGTCAAGAAAACCCATCAGAAGAAAGATATTCCCTTGATAAGAAGTCTGGGATGGAGTTATCACTTCCCTTTTTATACTGAATTTTGAAATCAAAAGGGGCTAATTGTGCCTGCCACCTAGCAAAAATTAACTTAGACGCATCATGTTTAAAATCTTTATCAAACATATACTTGACTGACTGAGCATCAATTTTTATCAAAATTTTTTGATTATATAAATCATCTTGAAATTTTAAAACGCACTTAACGATAGTTAACATTTCATGGGCTACCGTCGCATATTTTTTCTGAGCATCGCTCCATTTTCCTGAATGAAATCGAATAAGATATTCATTTTTATCATGCGGATTAATTTTTTTTAATATACCTCCATACCCAATATTAGACGCATCCGTCTCTACAATCTTTGGCCAAGCAGGATTAGCAAGGGTTAAACAATGTAAAGATTTAACTCTTTCTTTAATAGTCTTTACAAGATCTGTGAGACTATTGGTCCAAGGCTTTTTATGATCCTTTTTTAGCCTGTCATATAACGGAGCTAAATCTCGAGATAAATTCTTGTAGAATGGGGAAATGTAGTTTAAACTTCCCAGAAACCGCTGCAATTGTGTCTTATCTGTAATAATATCAGGGAATTTCGATGCAAATTCAATAGATCGCTGAATAGGAGTCATTTTTCCTTGACAAATCAAATGCCCCAAAAATCTAACTTCTGTTTGAAAAAGACTCGTTTTAGGTTTAGATATGACCAAACCATTTTGAATAACTATTTTCTTAAAAATGTCTAAATGCTTAATATGCATTTCAAGAGTCTTTGAGTATACCAAAATATCATCAATATAAACTATGATGAAATCCAAATAGGGATTGAAAATATCATTCATTATCTTTTGAAATTCTGAGGGAGCATTTTTTAACCCAAAGGCATTACATTCCATTCGTACTGTCCAAACGGAACATTAAATGCCGTTCTATATGAATGGTCTCTAAATATTTGGATTTGCCAATATCCAGATTTTAAATCAAATTTTGAAAAGATATTAGCATCATATAATCTGGTTAATAAATCTCTTTTATTAGGAATAGGATATCTAATCCATTTTAAAAATTTATTTAAAGGTTTATAATTTATAACTAACCTGGGAACACCTCGTTCTTTTTCTGCTGCGTTATTAACATAAAAAGTAGTACACGACCATGGTGATTTGGAAGGCTTTATCAATCCCTTTTGTAATAAATTATCAATTTCTTTTTTGCAGAATTCAACCAATTCGGTATTCATCTGATAAGGACGAGATTTGGTAGGGATATTTTCCTCAGAGAAATCATCTTCATATGGAAGAGTTACAATATGCTTTTTCCGATTCCAAAAGGCACTAGGATGATCAGCACAAATATTAATGGCCATTTTTTTAGAAATGAGTTTAATTTTTTCCTGTATTTTAGCATATTTTAAAGTATCGAATATATTCATACTAAATATCTCAAGTTGTAAATAATCAACATGCTTTTGTTTCATTTCAATTAGAGCATTAATATCTCTAGAAATAGGCTCGGTGATAAAAGTATAACTAATATCTTGATTTTTATAAGTAGCAGAAAATCCTTTAGCATTTATATTAGTAAAAGGATAAATTGCATTTATAAAAGGAGTTCCTAGAATAATAGGAGGGTATAACTGATTTTTTACTAAGAAAAAGAAGTGAGGAATACAAACTTTATTCTGGCAAATACGAGTATTAGATAATTTATACTTTATATCTAAAGCATGACCAGATGCAGATTTAACCATATGAGTTGTTTTTTCAAAATATTTAGTAGGTACAAGACCTTCTTGAATGCAACTCACATCAACGCCACTATCAATCATAGCAATGTTAGTTATAGAAAAAGTATTATCAATTAATATAGTACATTTAACATACCATTTATGAGCTGTAACAATTTGCATCATTCCTAAAAACATATTTTGTTTCGGATCAATATTCAAAGTGTTGGCAAGAATATTTTCTTCAGCAGTAGATTCATCATCAACCTTATTTTTTCCTTTGCTATTAGCAGACTCAATCTGAGTAAGACGGTGATCATAAATAATATGATTTTGTTTAAGAAATTTAATTTCTTCCTTCAAATGTTCAATTTCTCCTTTTAAATCATCAAAAGAGGTATCACGAATAACCATGGTTTGTTTAGAAGAGAGTCTATTATGAACTTCAGCCAAGGAGTAAGGAGCAGAATAATTAAAATCATCTTTAACCTTTTTATCACTAGGAATACTAGTTGAAGAGCTAGTTTTACTAACAGCCAATTGAATGATCTTTTCACGAAGAGTATTATCGGTAGCTTCTTTTAGAAGTTCTATCACATTGTCTGCAGTGATAGTGAACATATTCATGTCTTCAAACTGAGATTACAACTTGTAAAATTCATCATGTTCGCAGTGACAAGTATCACCATGACATTTTCAAGCATCATTCGAATCTTGTTGAACCTTATTAGATGACTCAGGTTGCTCATCCTCCGTTGCATAACTTGCTTCAGAATCATCATAATCTGATTCGGAACCAGAAGTATATAGAAAACTATAAATCTTCTCTTGAATATCATCATCAAGTTCTAGAGTCTTAAGCTTTTCTAGCTTACAATTTGGAGCTATATGCCCAAATTTTCCACATTTATAACACTTAATCGTATCAAGATTTTGCTTGGACCTATTCCTGGTAAATCTATGAGATTTACGATGAGTCCTACGCTCATCTCTTTCTTCTCTAGTCCTTCTTCTAGATCTTCTTTTCTTATGATGAGATCTATGATATTCTGATTTAGAAGTTTCTCGGTGGGTGCTTTTTGAAGCATCCGTGTCACGACCCAAGCCTAGGGCCTAGACGTGACATGGCGAATGAGGAACCCGAAGGAACCCCAAACAAGCCTCTCAAACTTGTCATCACACTTCATCGGTCGCGGAAGTACATTCAACATTAATTAACGGGAAATAGGGACTAAGGCAAACCATTTCAAAATGACATCATAGAATAAGAGTCAAGCTCGTTTACAAAATACTTGTCCAACTCACACCTCTACATACATAGATAGGACGGGGGCCATGACATATTACAGGCTCCCCTCATAGTTAAAATACAATTGCAAGCTAAAGTCTCAAAACATAGGAGTAAGAAACATAACATAGCCCTCGAATTATTGAGGACTCACCAACAAACTCGGATAAGCGTCGTACTAGCCACGTGAATGGAGAGAAGGATCAAGAGTAGCTCCGGTCCCTACATGGTGACATCATGTAGGCAAAATATGTGTTAGTACTTGGAATGTACTAAGTATGCGGGGTGCAACACAACAATAAACAAGGACACAATCGAAATACAAGAAATAGTTTCATAGGCATTATGAATAACAATATGAGGATGCATGATCAAAGTGAAGTCAAAACATGTTTAAGTAAATCTATACTAATAGTAGATATCATATGTGTATGCATGATCCAACCAATCTATAACCCCAACTTAGGATGGGGGATGCCGTTCACACCCGGACACCCTGGTGGCAAGGTATAAACCCCTCACATGGTTGATGTTGGTCACACCCCAAGCATCCTAGGTGGTGAGATATAAACCTCTCACATGGTTGATGTTGGTCACACCCCAAACATCCTAGGTGGTGAGATATAAACCTCTCACATGGTTGATGTTGGTCACACCCCAAACATCCTAGGTGGTGAGATATAAACCTCTCACATGGTTGTCCGGTTCTTTTCCCCCGGACCGGGCATGGTCATGCAACACTTTATATAGGAAATTCTCATTAGGCTCTAATGCAATCTCACGTATGGAATGAACATATACACAAGCTTAGTTTGTCATCAACACATCTTTGAAGTTCCATACATCTCATAACTCAAGCTTTAAAACATCAATTTATCAATTCTCCATAGTTGGACATTTTGTCAAACACCTTGAAGGCATGTAATGAAATCAAAGAGCATGGAAATTAGGGTAGTAATTATGCAACCAAAACAGTGAACAACCTACAACAACACCTTTACATTCATAACATGATCACATTATCTTCATTGGATTCTCATTCATATAATGTCATGATAACACTCCAATTTCTCATACTATGCCTTTAAGGCCATAAGCCTCACATACCAATACACCAACAATACACCATAAAATAAGCATGGGTAATGACATACTTCAACAATCTAAAGACCTTTAAACAAGTTTGATTCATATACATTCATTATCTAGCAACCACTTCATAAAGGCATAAACTAGGAATAGGGAGAAATCATGGGTTCATGGAGTATTTTCATCTTAAATCGTCAATACAACAACAATATAACCATAAAGTGCCATTAGAAACCTTTTAAAACTATTTGATGGAAGAACCCATGAGATTGAGTGAAAACCTAGATTTTTTCATATTTTGAAGTAACTTTGGATTTGGCTCCTTGTATGGAAAATTAGACAAGGATCAAGACCCCCATACCTTTGCTATGATCTCCCACGAAAATTGATGAAGAAAGCCTTGAATCCAAAGCCCTAGCTCCCACTTCTTCTTCTTCTTAAATGGAGGATTGTAGAGAGGGAAATGTTTTTTTTGGGATGGGAATTGGATTATGGTATCTAGGAATTAATATAAGTCCTTTGAAAAAAAGGGTCCAACACTTAGAAAAAAAAACAGGCGGGTGAACAGTATATGAACAGTATATGAACAGTAAAATCAGCTACTGGAATTTGGATTTTCTGCCGGACAGACTTTACGAAAATGGGCATAACTTCTTCGTCCGAACTCCGAATAAGGTGAAACGAAGTGCGTTAGATAGCTAACTCAAAGGGCTTTCCATGGATATATTATTGGCCACCAAATAATTTGTGTGCTAGGAGATATGACCCTCCAAAGTAGACCCTCGAAAAAGGCTTCACTTGGAAATTTTGGATTTTGATACGGTTGCTCTAAAATTTGGGTTAGACCCATTTCCCACTCAATTTGACCCCCTAAACAAGAATATGAAGTCGGATTTTTGAAAAACGAAACGGATTTTGAGATATATGGAAATTACAATTATAGGTGTTTCCGAAGCACATTTTCGGGCATTTTTTGGGGTCGTTTCAATCCGGTAAACCGAATTGAGTACAAAAATCTCCTAATTGAGACTTTTCTCTAAGCTTATCCATCTTAAGCTGTCTTGAGAGTTTTAACTCATTGCACAAATTTATGCCTTCTTGCGTACAAGCCCCAATAAGCTTTCCATAAGTTAAATCACTATAGGGAATAATTTCTTGTGAATTTCTAAGAGTCTTTTTTACTCTTTCTGCAAATAAAGAAGGTAAGCCATCAATAAATTTGGCTTTCCAGAATTCTAAACCATTTTCGGGAAGTTCCATTACCCGACTTAAATAAGTGTCTTCATACCATCTAAACTCACCTAAATGTCTACATCTAAGACCATTTAGAAGAGATCTAATGGTTTCATATTGATTGGTAAATCTACCACTAAAATGTTCAAGAATAGTCAAAATAAGTGTATACACAGCGTCTTCTCTATTTTGAACAAGGGCAAAGCCTAAATTGTCATGACCTTCATTTGTTGCCTTAGCATTAATTACTGCTGCTCTGGCATCAGAGGGCATATAATTAGCCCACCATCCTCTTAGTTGACCGGTAAATCCTGCAATAATCATCTTGCAGATGGTCCTGTCAGTGTTATTGACACTTTTGCAAATAGTAGCATACATAAGCATCCAATGAACCATAATCGTCAACTGCCTATCAGTTAGCCCATCGAGATTCCATTCATAAATCTCACTTCCACTATAAGAAGTGTTAGTTTGATTCCAATCTCTTTCCTCTATTAAAACATCTTGAGGAGTAGGCCTGGGATAGTAATAAGTTTGCATGCTAGGTTTTCTAGCATAAGCAGTATTACCACTATTCTTCTTTGGATACCCATGAAGTTTATTAACTTCCATTTCCATTTGAGTTTTGAAATCAAAAGTGGCTTCCATCTCATCTGCAAAATCTTCAGCGAGACTTATCGGTTTCGCACTTGCACCAAATTGTGAAAACTTTTTATCAAGAAGATTTTCAAGGTCGTGCAAAGGTCTAAGAATAAAATCCTGAATCTCAGGAGGCCTTTGAATATGGACATCAGGTTGTTTTGACGAAGAAGCCTGTTCCGAAACTTGTTTCACAGATTTTAGCTTACTATCAATAATAATAATAATAATAATAATAATAATAATAATAATAATAATAATAATAATAATAATAATAATAATAATAATAATAATAATAATAATAATAATAATAATAATAATAATAATAATAATAATAATAATAATAATAATAATAATAATAATAATAATAATAATAATAATAATAATAATA